ACATATAAAAAATTTAAAAAAAAAAAAAAAAAAAAAAGTTGGTAAGTTAGACAAACAAGTATGATTTCAGAACATCAGTCTGTTTGTTATTCTTCCTCTTAGATTAGGAAAAGTCTTTTTTTTTTTTTTTCCCCCCCGAGACAGGGTTTCTCTGTGGCTTTGGAGGATGGCCTGGAACTAGCTCTTGTAGACCGGGCTAGTCTCGAACTCACAGAGATCCACCTGCCTCTGCCTCCCGAGTGCTGGGATTAAAGGCGTGCGCCACCAACACCCAGCTGGGAAAAGTCCTTTTATTAAAAAAAAAAAATTACATTTAAGAGTGCTCTATTTGCATGTATGCCTGCTTGACAGAAGAGGGCATGAGGCAGAAGAGGGTATCAGATCCCACTATAGATGGTTGCGAGCCACCATGTGTTGCTGGGAATTGAACACAGAACCTCTGGAAGAGCTGCATATGACTACTGAAAATTCTGGTTCAAATATAGGTAGAAGAAATACACCAAGATATATATTTTGTTTTTAAGTTTTTATTTATTTGTGAATGTCAGAAGAGGCACTGGATCTCCTGGGGCTGGATTTAAAGGCAGGCGAGAGATTCTGATGTAGGTGCTGGGAACTGAACTGCACTTTAGGTCCTGCAAGAGCAGTTTGTTCTCCCAACCATCTCTAGCCCAACTTGCTGCTTCCTTTAAAAAAACAAAAACAAAAACAAAAAACAGTTTTTAAAAGTATAGCTATAATACAATGAACAGAATTTAAGTAATAGACAGTAATAGGCATTGACTGATAAACTAAAGTAGAAGAAAACAAGAGAAAAGAATGTCTGTAGGGGAAATTCAGATAGGATCCTTTTGCCCCATCACATCTCTCCAGGCTCTTGCTAAGAAGCAAGTGCTCAATAGGACTCGGTGAAGTTGGTGTCTGGCAGCATTATAAATGTTTTATAGCACCACCTTTAGTCTCTTGACCTTGACTGCTCTTGACCTTGGCAGGGTTCAAGACTCAACTCTGGGGGGGGGGGGTGGAAGCAAAATTTAAAACAGGGCTGCAGAGAGCTCTCAGTGCAGTATCTGTGTGAGGACCTGCATTTGGATCACCCGCACCTGTGTAAAACTGATTAAGGCAGAGGCAAGAGGAGCCCTGACAGCTAATTGTCCTGAACCAGTGAGCTCCAGGTTTCTCAAAAGAAGTGGGTGGAGAGTGATAGGAGAACCTGCTGCCCACCTCTGGTCTACACACACACTCACTAGAGTGTGATTATAGTTAGTGATTTGATTTTGTAAAAATAATTCATCAGAACTGGAGTAATGGCTCAGTGGTTAAGAGCACTGGCTACTTACTCTTCTATAGAACCCAGGTTCTATTTCCAGCGCCCCTACCATCTGTAACTCCAGTTCCCAGGGGACCCAACACTGTAGTCTGACCCCCTGGGACATGGCACCATTCAGACATACATGCAGGCAAAACACCCATACATAATTTTAAAACTTAAAAAGAATTATCATTAAAGAACACTTTTGTGCAGACTTAATGAACTACTATGTGGGGAGTGTTGTGATATGTAGATGAGAGTTTAACTACCTTTACATTTTTTGTAGAATGGCTTTAAGTGTCATTGTATGTCTGAATCTCATCAAAGACAACTGTTGCTGGCTTCAGAAAATCCTCAGCAGTTTATGGATTATTTTTCGGAGTAAGTACTCAAAGACATTCTTGCTTCTTAAACGTTACTCAGTTGGCCATGGAATAGTACTTAATATTTTATATTGGAGATCTGTTGTCCCTTATGTGTTAAGATGGCTAGAGTCTCATTGTGCTCAGTCTTTATCTTCTTTTGAAATTAATTACAATATGCCATTGTTACTAAAGTGTATCTTAGAACTGTCCTTCCTTTCTTTCAATTCAGGCTGTCTGGCTTCACATCCTTCCCCAGTTGTTTTGGGTGGTGCCTTCGGATGAGCTTCCTGAGTTTTTCTGTGCTTTAGTATTCTCATGGGTACAAGGACACTGAGTGGCACACTGATTTAACTGCTGGGTTCATGTGTAGGACTGGAAGAATACTGAGCTAATTTTGTTTTCCCAAGACAGGGTTTCTCTGTGTAGCTTTGGAGCCTATCCTGGAACTCACTCTGTAGACCAGACTGACCTTGAACTCACAGAGATCTGCCTGCCTCTGCCTCCCAAGTGCTGTGATTAAAGGCGTGTGCCACCATCGCCAGTTGAGAGCTAATATTTTTAAAGGACTCAGAATTGTGTCTAATACTAATAATGATTTTTTGTTAATTATTAACAGTACTAGCTTTTTGTTGTTGTTGTAGACTTCCAGATATTTTCTGATGACCCCTTTATACATATGTTTGAAGATTCCAAAGACCTTTTGTTTCTATGGGTTATATGTGTCAACATTTGAAATTAAATCCGAAAAAAATTACAAATATTATTAGTCTATTTTAAAATGCTAATATATTTACCCTATATTCCAATAAAGCTGGGACTTGGAAGGATGCAGAGAATAATGTCCTCTGCACATCTGAGGACTAAGGTTGCAGTCCACAGCATCCACATAAAAGCCAAATAAATATGACCATCAGCCCATAATCCCTGTGCTCAGGATCTCTACAGCAAGCCCACTAGCTAGACTAGCTAAATTGGTGAGCTCTGGCTTCAACAAGAGACCCTGCTTTAATAAATAAAGTGGAGAGCAATCAAGAAAGATACTCATTTGACTTCTGGCCTGCTTATGTACACAGAATGCATGTGTACCTACACTCAAGTGCTCACACATGGGTGTCTTTGTGTACAGGATCTTGCTTTATAGCCAAGGTTAGCCTTAAACTCACAATCTTCTTGCCTCAGCCTCACAAATGCTGGAATTACAGGGATGTTCCACCACACCTAGCTGAGATCTTTAATCGAAAAACCAAACCAAGGCAACATTCTATATTTTCCAAATACAAAAAATACAAAAATATCTATTTTATATTTTTGCAAATCTCTTCAATATCTCCAATTAAAAGGCAGCTGAATTCTCACTTTTTCTTCCACATTTAATGTGTTATAAAATATTGTTTTGGCCGGGCGTTGGTGGCGCACGCCTTGAATCCCAGCACTCGGGAGGCAGAGGCAGGCGGATCTCTGTGAGTTTGAGGCCAGCCTGGTCTCCAGAGCGAATGCCAGGATAGGCTCCAAAGCTACAAAGAGAAACCCTATCTCGAAAAACCAAATATATATATATATATTGTTTTGATTGATGAATTTTAATAAAGGAAGTTCAGCTTTAGCATAGATGGTTTGTTAGTAGAAGAAGCACTCTAGCATCTTTCCAAAGAAGTTATACTTTGATACTGCATTGAGATAGAGTGTGTGCAAGCCTCTTAGAGTAGCTATAATACACTCTGAAAGCAGGACATCTATATTCTGTTGAATTAAAATTCAGTGGTCTACCTGTTGCTTGCCTCTTGTTCACATGTGTGGTCCTGTAGTGTGTGTGAGTCTCTTGAAAAATATCAATTGATTGAGTTACAAGCACCTTCCTTTCAAATAGTGACCCCACTAGTACAGTGTCATCTGATGGTACTCATTAATAGCACAGATGTTGTCAGAACAGCTCTGAGTTTGAGAGTTATGGGGAGCTCACAGTGGCAGGTTCTACTTGCCAAATTTCTAGTCATGACTCAGAAGCTCCAATCTCATCAGCAGCACATTGCCTGTTCTTTTACCCAACACAGCAGTCTTACTTTAATTTTGAGGACATGTCTGCCAAATGCCCAGTGTGGAATAATGGAACTTTATGTCTTTTTGTCTATTATGTCTTAGGAGAAAAAGTATTCAACTCACAGCTCAATTGCAATTGCATGGGTGCTTTTCTCACAGCAGTTGTGATGCACAGTGGTGGCAGTTCATCTGTAATTCTCATTTTAACACAGACTAGTAGTAGGGTGATATCAAAGGCTGTGATTTAATAAACCAAGTTTCACTGTTCCATGGGGACATTCTAGATAAAGCTAGTCTTAGTTTTCAATGATTGGCATGGTTTTGCAGAGTACATCATTGTTAGATGGCTTGAGATCACTACCTGTGACCTTGTTCTGTATGCTAAGCTGCTGGTGGGTTTACTGTTCATCTTCAGAATATTTATTTATGCATTCATTCATTTATTTGTGTTTTGGAACAGGGTCTTATGCAGTCTGACTGACCTGGTACTTGCTGTAGTACAGGCTGGTCTCTGACTCAGATAGAGTCCTCTTGTCTGAACCTCCTTAGTGCTGGTAGGACGGTGTCTGCCATGAAGCCCATTTTCTTTCCATTGCTTTTAGTCTTATCAGTGCAAAAACCACAATGACAAAGGTAAAATTAGTTTTAACTGCGAACTACCTAAAACCATCTTGAATATCACCAGATGCTCAGGCCACACATTGGGAAAGGACACTATGACAAGTGCTAGAGACTTCCGGCCTTCACCTGCTGTTCACAGCAGCACTGTAGGCTGCCTTTCAGTCTCTTGAAGTCACTGTAGCTTTTTCCCATCTTCACCTTCCTTGGTCTGTCTCCAGTATCTAATGCTTGTAACTCTTCACTGACTACATCTCTCTGTGTATTCTTCCATGGCCTTCTTCCTCCTCCTTCCTTCTTCTCCCAGCTCCTCAGATACCAGGAAGTTTTTCAGGATTAGTCTCTGATCTTTTTGTCCCATCCCACGGTCACCACCGTAAGTCACATTCTTTTTAACTGCTGCCTTTATGGTCAGGTGTCTCCTAAATCTTTCTTCCCCCTAAATCTTGATGTCCTTTTCTAACATTTGTCCTAAGTTACAAATGATTTTTTTTTCATTGACAACTCTGCTTTTCTGAAAGCTCTTTTAGAATCATCATTTCTTTTATCTTTATTTTTAAAAAATTATTTAATTCTGTATGTACAAATGTTTTGCCTGCATGTATGCTCATGACTGGTACATGGAGGCCAGAGGAGGGCAGTGAATCACCTGGAACTAGAATTAAGATGATTGTAAGTTGGGAATCAAACCTGGGTCCTTTGCAAGAGCATCAAGTACTCTAAACCACTGAGCAATCTCTCCATACAGTCAGCATTTCTGAAGTTGAACTCAGTATGTTTCAATCCTCATTGTCAACTAATAGAACTCCCTGTCCTTGGAAACCTTCTCGTATATTCTGTGTGATGCCCGTCAAACTTAGGTCCTTTCCATTCTTTCTGTTCATTCTCACTTGAATCACTTTCATGATTCTTCACTGTTCCAGCCTGCAACTGTAGCCACTGCTATTCCTGTTCTAGCCAATGTTCTACAAACAATTGTGTGTACAGGATTGGCTTAGATTTAAAACAGTGGTGGATCTTATACCCAGCTTCTCATTCAGGAAATCTTGGATGGGGCCAGAGATTTTATATTTATGTGACATTCCCAAGTGATGGAGTGCTGTTGGCTTGGGGAACATAATTTGAGAATTACTGTTCTCTGCTGCTCACCGAGATTTTCTTCCCTCCCACCCTTTTCTGTCATGGTTTGATAAGTATAGGTTAAAATTTTTTTAAGTTAGCATGAAAAGTAATGAGTTTCATCATAACATTTTTAAATGTGTTATATTATCTCATAAATCATAATTCCTCTACTAGTATCCCTTCCCTTCTTGTCCTTCTCTACTACTTGTTGAATCCCTTCCTTCCCTCCAAGTAATCTACTCTTCTGTTTTTAAGCTGCATGCATTCTCTTACCCTCTTTTTCTCTCCTTTACTATGATCTCATCATCCTCTCTCATGACCCCCTTCAGGTTTCCTTACACGCACGCACGCACGCACGCACGCACGCAAGCACATGCACACATACACACACACTTCTAAATCTAGGTTGTTTTTATGATCTAACTTGCTTAACAAGCTATCTTTTTCCTTGCAAGTTTTATGATTTTATTTTTCTTTAAAAATTTATTTTGTGTTTGAGTGTTTTGCCTGTGTGGAGACTAGATCTGCTGGAGCTGGAGTCAGAGACAGTTGTAAGCAGCTATGTGGTTGCTGGGAATCAAACCTGGATCTTCAGGGGGAGCGCCACTGCTGTTATTAGTTGAACTATCTCTCCAGTCCCTTTACTTTCCTTTATGGCGGTATAAGCCATGATTATCTTTCAAATTAGAGTTTAATCCATTAATTTTTCAAACCTCAGTTATTTGGGTTGGAAATGCTTTTCTGTTGCTTGCAGAAAACAAGGTCTATATAACATGACATTCACGATGATTCAAAAATTAGAACAGACCTCATCTTCAAGCCACATCTTCTCCCCTCATGCCATTCTGCCTCTGCTCATTCTCATTATTACCATCCTAAATTCCAGCCACAGTAGGATAAATGCCATCTATCAAACATGCCCTGTGTTCATGGCTCTGTTAACAACAAATGGCCTTCCCTTTTGACCTTTGATTGTTTCTTGGGGGAGGAGTGGGGTTCCAGACAGGGTTTCTCTGTGTAACAGCTCTGGCTGTCCTGGAACTAGCTCTGTAGACCAGGCTGGCCTTGAACTCACAGAGATCCGCTTGCTTCTGCCTCCCAGGTGCTGGAATTAAAGGTTTGTGCCACCACTATCTGGATGACCTTTGAATTATATTTCACTGTCTGTATTAAAGTCCCCTCTGACAATGCAGTCAAATTTGTTTATGATATTTCGTTGCATTTTTTTTTTTAGTTGACTTTATTGGAAGTGCTTGAAGGTTAAGATGTGTCTTTTGCTGGCCTGTTCAGAGTGGTGTTATTATGCCATAGTCTTTAGCACAAGGACCCTATGATGAATGTTCTCTAGCTTTCACTGTGGCTGCTTTACTAAGGCCAAACATTTCAATGCCAGGCTGATCTTTGCAGTTCTTTCTCTGTTCACTTTAAAGGTTTATGGCAATGATGTGACATTTGGTCACTACAGTTTATTATGATTGCTTAAACTTGGGGACAATGGAGCTGTCTATTTGTAGCAAGTACCTTAATGTTGTCCTTTCTTCTTTCTCTAGGGAATTCCGAAATGACTTTCTGGAACTTCTGAGGAGACGCTTTGGTAAACATTTTAAATAGCATGTAAATACCTATTTCATAGTTGTATGGGCTTTTTTTCAGGCTCAACAGTGTCACCTTTTGTTTTTAGGCACTAAGAGAGTCCACAACAATATAGTGTACAATGAATACATCAGCCACCGAGAGCACATCCATATGAACGCCACTCAGTGGGAAACTCTGACCGACTTTACCAAATGGCTGGGCAGAGAGGGTAAGGAGACAGCAGTGGAACTGGTGTTCCATGGCTTTATTCTAGGAGAGAAGTCACTGTCAGTTTCTGTCTGGACAATTACAAAAGCAGGAGGGGGACATGCTATTCCATAGTTAAGTTTGTTACATGCCACTTTTGTCATTTTAATTTTTTGAAGCTGGGTCTAATATAGCCCAGACTGTAGTGGAACTTTCGACCCTCCTGCCTCTGCTTCCCAGGGGCTGGGCTTGCAGGGTTTGGATCCACAGTGACCAGCTGGAGGACTTCTTTTGACAGTGCACTGAAGCATTCTGTATTGGGCACCTTGTATCACAGTGACAAAATACCGGAGAAAGTTTGTTTTGACTTGCAGTTTCTGAGAATTCAGTTCATGATCACTTGACTCGTGTGCTTCTGGGTCTGTAGTCAGGGAGAGTGTCATGCCAGGGAGCATATGATGGAGAGGCAAAGGAGGAGCAAGGGGGCTAGGGTAAGATATTCCCTTCCAGACCATGGCCCAATGGCCACATCCTCCTGCCAGGCCCTGCCTGTTAGTCTCTACCATTTCCCAATAGTGCAATCAGATTGAAGTCCGTGAATGAATCAGAGCCTCCAGATCCAATCATTTTACAATGGCTGCAGACCAAGCTCTCAACACATGAGCTCTGGGTGACAGTTCATATCCAAACCATAATATTTGTATTTTCTTTAAGAGTCATTAGTAGTCAGCCGGGTGTTGGTGGCACACGCCTTTAATCCCAGCACTGGGGAGGCAGAGGCAGGCAGATCTCTGTGAGTTCAAGGCCAGCCTGGTCTCCAGAGTGAGTGCCAGGATAGGCTCCAAAGCTACACAGAGAAACCCTGTCTCTCAAAAACCAAACAAAAACAAAACAAAAAAAGAGTTATTAGTAGTCTGATGACCTGAGATTGATCCTAGAGAGCCAACTCCTGAAAGTTTCTGACCCTCATGTGTGTGTCTACACACATACCTACATGTACACCACACACAACATTTCCATCTACACCACATACACATGTGTGCCACACATAAATAAAAGTAAGACAAAATATTTTTAAAACTTATTAGAAGTTTCCTCCATTCTTCTTTTCCCTTCTCTTTTATATTCACCTCTTTTATCCCTTCATTTATTTGGTGAGACAGAGGCTTGACCTGTACTCCAGTCTACTCTAGAACTCAATAGGTATTCCAAGTTGGCCTGGAACCTATTGCTGTCTTGCTTCAGTCTCCTAAGTGTTGGGTTTATAGTGTGAACCACCACCACTCAGCTTTATAATCCTTCTTCAGGAAATGTTTCATTTTCTATCTTTAGGTGATTATTCATGTTTGCTTTTTTCTTTTCCCATTTCTGATCTTCATATGATGAGAAATTAGGAAGACAGGAGAAACTTGGTGTCAGTATTTTGCTCATTTAGAGTGTTATTTATCCTAAGTTAACAGATCATTCTGTATTCATTAGTAAGGACTCTGTTGTAGTTGAACAGTTGTTCCTAAAGTACTTCCTTGGTCATCTCTTGTTTAGCTGTTTCCTCAGCATAGCTATATGAGCATGGAAGTGAAAACTCCTTGTGTTTCAAGGCTTTGCATTTGAGGAGACTTGATTGTAGTTACTGAATGAGTAAATGTGTAGAGATGGAACACATTATGCTTGGAGTTTACTTTGGTTGTTGTTTTTGTCCCCCCCCCCCCAGGCTTGTGTAAAGTGGATGAGACACCGAAAGGCTGGTACATTCAGTACATAGACAGAGACCCGGAAACTATTCGCAGGCAACTGGAATTAGAAAAAAAGAAGAAGCAAGATCTTGACGATGAAGAAAAAACTGCCAAATTCATTGAGGAACAGGTGAGACGAGGTCTGGAGGGGAAAGAGCAGGAGACGCCTGTTTTTACAGAATTAAGCCGAGAAAACGATGAAGAAAAGGTGACATTCAATCTGAATAAAGGAGCAGGTAGCTCAGCGGTAGCCACATCATCAAAGTCAGGCTCTTTGGGACCAAGTGCACTGAAGACTCTGGGGAGTGCATCGTCAATGAGACGGAAAGAATCTTCACAGAGCTCAGCTCAACCTGCCAAGAAGAAAAAGAAGTCTGCCCTGGACGAAATCATGGAGCTTGAAGAGGAAAAGAAAAGAACTGCACGAACAGATTCCTGGCTACAGCCTGGAATCATTGTGAAAATTATAACTAAGAAACTAGGAGAGAAATATCACAAGAAAAAAGGTGTCGTTAAGGAAGTGATTGACAGATACACAGCTGTGGTAAAGATGATTGACTCTGGAGACAGGCTGAAACTGGACCAGACTCATTTAGAGACTGTCATTCCAGCACCAGGGAAAAGAATTCTAGTTTTAAACGGTGGCTACAGAGGAAACGAAGGCACTCTAGAATCCATCAATGAAAAGACTTTTTCAGCCACTATAGTCATTGAAACTGGACCTTTGAAAGGACGAAGGGTGGAAGGTATTCAGTATGAAGACATATCTAAACTTGCTTGAGCTTGAAAATTTGTTAACCATACATTGAAATTGTGAAGCATCAAATTGATGTTAGTCAAGGTACTATGTAACTACTGTGTTAGGGGATTTGTTTTGTATTAAAAATGAATCTATTTAAATACTGTTGGATAGTTGTTTGGGTAAATTCATAATGAAATCTAATGTTTTTTAAGTGTCAAAACTGTCATTTTTATCATTCTCTTTTCCTTCATAATACTCCCTTGATGGTTTTTTGTTTGGTGTTTTGTTTTTTTTGTCCCCCCCCCATCATTAAAGAATATTACAGTAAAGTGTTCCATGCAAGACAATTTGGAAAAAATGCCACATTAGTGTCTGTGTGTTTCTAATCAGGCAAGCTTGAACTTAATTCAGATGAATCATTGGAGTTACTTATTTTGCTAGAATAAGATCAGTGAAAGATGTCACTTTATTAAGAAATCCTTTAGAGTTTGTCTAAAATACTCAGCGGTTAAGAGTACTGACTTTTCTTCCAGAAAACTCACTTTCAATTCCCAGCACCCACATGGTGGCTTACAACCCTCTGTAACTTCAGTTCCAGATCCTGGGCCCTCTTAACGGCTTCCGTGAGCACTGCATGACTTGCTGTACAGATGTCCATGCCTGCCAAATACCCACACACATAAAAAGGAAATCCTTCAGTTGCTTTTGTATCCAACCTTTGCTTTCTCTGGGCGATATTGGAACATTCATTAGGTGGCCCAAAGGTTGTGAGAAAATACATTCTTTTGTTTTCCATGACCATTCAGTCATGATGTTACCATTAACAAAGTTCATGTTTGAGAACCAGACAATCAAATCACAATTAAACTATATATATGTGTGTGTGTGTGTGTGTGTGTATATATATATATATATATATTCACACACGAACATTTAATAAGGTACTGTTTAATTCTATTCATTTAGGGTCTTTTTTTCATTTACAGTTTTAAAGAATTATGTTTGTGTGTGTGTGTGTGTGTGTATGTATGTGCACCACATATGTACAGGACTCTGCACAGCTCAGAAGAGGGCTTTGGATCTCCTGGACCTGGAGTTACAGATGTTTGACATGTGGATCCTGGGAACTGAACTTGGAACCCTCTGCAAAAGCAGGAAATGCTCTACACTGCTGTACCAACTCTCCAGCCCCTTGCATTTCTAGTTTTTACCCTAAAGAAAACTGACTTAGTTTATATTCATTTAAAACAGTCCCTAAACTTTGAGGGGGAAAAAAAAAAAAAAAAAAAAAAGCAAAACTTGTAACTCCGGTATAAGCTCAGCTAAGACTTGTTTTTCATTTAAGATAAAATTCACATTTAATCGGCTTAATGGTAACTTTGTGATTGATGCTTGGGCCAAGCTTGTGAACACAGGCCACATGAGACCAAAAGATAGCTACTATGTCTCATAAATAGCAGGTAAATATTAGTCAGCTGAGATCTCATTTGTTCATATGTATACAACTAAATATCCAGTTGTAAGTAGTTCATGGGATCCTCCAAAGAATGAACAGGCTTACTTAGGGGAAAAGCTGTTCTTTTCCAACTGTCCCCACTAAGTTGTTGGCCTTGTTTGAAATCCAAGGTTGATTATTCATATATAATGGAAACTAAATCAACATATTTCTGGTCTCAAGATGGGTTACAAATGATAGTTATGTTTATAGATGATGAATGGTGAAACATCAACTTTCTGAGTTACACGTATGAGGTTGATTTTATAGAACAGTTTTTATGGAACTATTTCATATAACTGTTACCCCAAATTTTGCTCATAAATGTAGATACAGTTTTGACAGTGCTATCCCTACAGCACAGGAGTTCAGTGTAACTCTCTGTTATGAAGTAGCTGGGAAGCAATAATGTCCCCTGTTTATTGTCAGTATTCACCCAAAGTCTCATTACTGCCCCTTTTGTGGAATAAAAGCAAGTGTGTGCTTAGTCTCAATGTTGAGGTGACATTCAACAGTAGATGGATTTTTTCAGTAAACACAGGCTCCTGGGGTTGGCCTCAGTGGCAGCTTGACTCACTAACCACTTCCTAGGTGAAACCTTGATTAACACACCATCCCCAAACACTCCTGAGACGACTTTGCAAATATTTATTTACTTCAGGTGGGTTAGCAGGCCTTTAAGACCACTGCAGTATCTGGGTTTGTTTTGAATTGCTGGAGCTGAGGAATAACTGCAAAAAGTGTCAAGGAAAGAAAATGTATACATACAATTTTCAAAACCATAAACCATTAAGGCCGTTTGAGAAAGCTATAGAGCTGAGGTACGAGGTAATCCTTGTAATGCCCGTCGATGAATCCTTTCCCACTGTTGTGCACAAACCAGCAGGGAACGTCTGTTCCAAACACTATGTCTGTTCTGTAGTCCTTCTGCAAGCCTCTGAAAGAAAAATGGTGTGTATGCTTAGGGAAAAGACAACACAGTAACAAGGCACAGCTGCAAACCAGACAGCTCTTTCCCTTGTTCTCTGTGCCTTTCTACTCTCTACCTGCCCCTACTCTTTCCCTGCCACCCAAGTTCAAAGAGGTGTCAGTACCTGGAGGTTGGCTCAAAGAGTAACCAGTGTGTCCTTAGATAAGATCGCTCTCCTAGAAGCTGGCCTACAGGGAGGGGTTCTTCCAAGGTAACAGTAGTAAATGAATAGTAAAAAAGGGAAAAAGGCTAAATAAAACTCAGTGCTATAGGTTAATCTGTGCTATCTGATGACTCTGAGGCTCCTCAGTTTATGGATGTTTTATTTAAGGGTGATACCAGTTATTTATAAGCAAATTCAAGTCTTCCATTTGGAAGATGAAGAAGCTAATATTTTATACGTATGGCACATTGCCATCAGTGAGCTTTAAAAGAATGGAGGGGGGCCCGTTTGGTTTCATTTACTCATTGGAAATGTCACAGGAGTTTGTGAAAAGGCTCAGTGTTTGCATTTTGTCATAGAAAAGATGATTTGCCTATGATGTAAGGCAATTGCTAAGTGGGTCTCACCATTTCTCCATGCTTACTGATGTCCATTAATTTGGACATTGTTTTCCGTCTGGTAAGCCAATACCATTTGGATGGTGTACTAAGAATCCACCATTTTAGTTCATGTGTCTATGTTGTGGTGGCATATATCATAATTTTTGTGATTTAATTATTGTAAAGTTACATTTTAATTATGTGAAAGATAATAGCATGTCTGTACTGTTATTTCTAATAAGGAAAATTAACTGCTTTATAAAATATCAAAAAGACGAAATGCTTTAAAATGATATTAAATGAAGCATGAGAGACAAGGAGGGGAGAGAAATTCAAAGATTTATAGTTTTACTCAGAATGCTAAATTTCCCACTTTGAAATGAAGCATATGGATGTGATGCAAGAAAACCTACCCCAAAATACACTCAGAGTATCCATATTCAAGAAGCCCTTACATAAAACTATGCAGGACTTCTCTGGCACTGTGCTTCCTGGATATTTTATTATCTTTTCCTTTGGTCAACATTTTCAATTATTCGGTTTCTGACTATAGGGCTCTAATGTGCTGATGAGAGCACTAGATTAATTCATATTGGCATTTCATGTATGTGTGCGCATGTGATCATTATTTGCATTTAATCTGGGCTATTTAAGTGTCCTTTGGCTACAATATTGTATATGTGTCTATTGTTAATGACTTGTGGAGTTTGACAGTGTTTCAAGTGCCTTTTCTTATACATCCAAGGCCTACCTGGTAACAGTCAGCTTATGTCCTTTCACTTCCATGCTTGCCTCTGGTTTTTCTGGATCTTTTCCTGGTCTCTCATTGAAGATATGGATGTTTGGCTCATTCATGAACTGCCCTAATGACACAAAGCACACACATCAATTTACATGGACTCCTAGGCCTGTAATTGTTTTCAAGTGACATTTTGGTCCCTCTACAATCTTTATATACTTGATGCTGCCCTTCTGCCCTTCTGATGACAGCAGACAAGTTAGGCATTGGAGAGTGTAGCTCAGATCATAGGAATAGGGTGGTTTGAGATGTCACATACTTACATCCGAACCCTTCTGAAAATATCTGCGTGTTACTGAGTCTACTTGTTCCAGACCTCTTAAACCAAGTCACCCAAATTCAGTCACAGAAAAAAAACATCATAACATAATTTGTAACCTGTTTTGTCACTTGTCTTGCCACATTAATGTCACTGGGCACATAGCCTTGACCATTGCATTTCCTGGTCACCCTGCTGTCCTGGCACTCTGTAGACCAGGCTGGCCTCAAACTCACAGAGATCTGCCTGCCTCTGCCTCGCAAGTGCTGAGATTAAAGGCATGTGCCACCACCTACCAGCCACCTTTCCAGCTTCTAACTGCAGTTGTCAAAAGTTGCTACCTGCCTGTCCAGTGGTTGAGATAGATGCTTTACCTAAGAGTCCATGTGCACTGGGTGAAAACTTGTTTGTCGGGGGAATGTAGATCCCCAGAAAGTCAACATTGACTGGGTGCTTCTTCCACACACGATGTAGCAGAACAGAAAAGAACATCTCCTTATCCAGGGCGAGAGTCACAGATTTTCCTTTCTTCACGGTGATAAGCACCCTATGTAAAAGTCAACAGAGAACTAGTTTCTAGATGATTCCAGAACAGACATTTTATTAAATGTTATATTATTTTATGTATTTACTTAGTGTGCATGTGTCTGTGCCCATGCATGTATGCATGTGTGTGTGTGTTCCACAGTACACTAGCGCAGGTCAGAAGAGGACAAGGGTTTGTTCTCTCCATCCACTGTGTGGATCCTGTGATTGAACTTGGGTAATCAGTCTCAGCAACAAGTGCCTTTACATACTGAGCAATCTCGCCAGGGCCAGAACAGACATTTTTTATTTTTATTTTTTGTTTTGTTTTTTTTTGTTTGTTTTTTGAGACAGGGTTTCTCTGTGGCTTTGGTCATTCTCAGGCCTAATAGAGACTCTCCATTGAGAGCTTCACCATGTAAGTGCAATGGGATATTGCATGTCTGTA